AATTGTTTTCGTAGACACCAACATAAATCAATTTCAAGACAATACAAATAATTTATTGAATATATTAGACAAATTAAGTATGGAGCTACAAAAAATACTTGTATATGAATTAAAATATTCAACTCCATCCAAAAAGGAAAAGATTTAATTATTTCCTACATAAAAAAAAGTTTTGCCATTAAAATTCATATAATGGACTAAATTTTATTTATATATTTACAACCGAATTTATTCGCATTTGTATAACTTGTTAACACATTTAATGTCGGATTCTGACAATAATTGCCGGTCAGTAATTTCTTTAATGGTAACATTTGGAACAGTTGGCATTAAAGTAATTTTACCATGTTTAGCGCCTAGTTTAGGACCATAGTGCATAATAGTATCGTAACTATAAGTGCCACATACTCCAAGGCTGGGGTAAATCTGAAACGCTTCTTTATGTTCTGCTCGTTAAAGAAAAGTCATCAGTTCAAACTATTTATGCATAAAATATGTTGAACAGTTTGACTTACCTTCTTTAATATTATCCCATAAAATTTTTATATATTTATCACGATCCCGTCGAGTATGTTCGTGAAACAAGCCAATAGCGTGGCCTAATTCGTGAAGTATTATTCCGACGTTCCAACATCCACTTCCTAAATTAAGAATCTGACGTCCACCCGGTTTTCCAATGTGGGAATTACATCTGAAATGTATGTATACATATATTATAATGAATATAACGTAAATAATTAAGTATCCGTATCAATATTCTTACCCTTCTCCTTCCTGTATATAAATATAATTATCCTCTGTTCTTCTATATACAAAACGTAAGCAAGTTACAAGTTGGATGTAGTCAATAATTGTTATCAAAGTAAAAATTCTGACAATTTCTAGTAGAAAATGTTATTATTATATTAATCAATATTATTAATTAATTCAAATACAGCAAAATAACGTACTTAAGTCAGGAGAAAACTTGTAATATATTATACCATCATCCCAAACTCTGTGATGCAATACAACGGCTCGACTCTAAACATTTTAAAATTCTTTAATTAAAAAATTTCTGGATATCATTTTATATTAATACAATATTGAATATGTGTTAAGAGACTTTACAAAGTTTGTGGCATCCGTTATCCATGCGACAGTCCGAATACAGATACCACGAAAAGCATCACCATTTTGAATGGAAACCCTGAAACGACCCGCGAAAATTGTTGTGTTAATTGTGGGTTTGCCCAGGTCCACGATGAGTGATCTGGGCAAACTCACAATGAGTACTAGATAAGGCCTCATTTGTTTCCGCAAGAAGGAGGGAGTAGAAAATCCGGAAAACAAAATACGCATAAGAATATTAAACATCGATACATTGTTTTCTTCTATTCGAGAGATCTTAATTACAGTGGTGATCACATATGATTAGAATATCGACATTCTTGGTCGTCTAATAGTTTATCTTCGGCATGGTCTGGATTCTAAGGTCACCATATAAGATTTCCAAGTCCTTCGTAATGAACGTGCAATTCTAATATGTAAGATACACGTGGACGAGAGAACTTAATGGATAGACTCTATCCAGGAGATTGCAGATTGCGATTCTGTTAAAGAAATTAGAAGGCACGAAGATGCCGGGAAGAGCATCCCGACATCGCTTTTCTCTCGAGTCGCCAAAAACAATAGTGTAGGTCCTAAAAATGAACAAACTAAGGTTAAATGTGTAAAAATTTATAAATCACCTCTCCGAATGACGTATCCAATCTAATATCGCCTTCGAATAAATTCACATTTTCCATAGAACTCTTATACAAAGTATAATTAAAGGTTTCGTTATTTGCTAAATCCACATTTTCCATAAAGCTCTTATACAAAGTATAATTGACGGTTTCATTCTTTACTGAAAAAGTTCTTTGATAGGAAAGGAATAAACATCTATAAAGATAAATTAATTAAAATTCTGTAATAATGATAATATTACAATTAATATAATTATAATACAGTACTTACAAAGTGATTATATAGAAAATCATAATCGTCTTGCTTATAAATTAAGGATTTCCTTGTTTACCTTATAAGTTCCTTACATTAACAATAAAAATTCATTACAAATACAGCATAATTATTAGAGGTATTTACAAAATCGAGATATAATGTCGATTATTGTCATGTCACTCGAATTATTAATTACTATTAATTAGAATATTCAAATAAATATATTTATAATATTAAAATATGTAAAAATGTACCTTTTTCGTTGAGTTATCTTACTATAGAATAGTGTAAACGTCGTAAAATGACGAACTTTATATAGAAATTTCTTAAGTTTTTTTTGTTATTTAATTCTTATTCATTTATTTTTCTGTGGAAACGTGCTTGTGAAAACCAATAAGTTTGGTTTTCACAAGGCTATTTATATAATTCGATACTTGAAAAATATCGAATTTCTGAAGACAATACAGAAAGAATGATATCAATTTGGTATTGATGACATGTCTCTGTTACAGTTCGTGAAAATATTTCAGAAAATAAAACATAATAAAGTTTCTTTGAAAAATAAAGAAAAAACTTATTTTAAATAACTTTATTACATATTTAAGAATTATTACTCATCTATTAAACATAAAATGTTTCAAGGAAACGATATCAAATAAGTGGTGCCACGTACTTCGAATATAGTTTATCGCAGGAGGCCAATCGAAGCCAGAATTAATTTTTCCCATTGAAATAAGAGCGAGCGAATTAATTTATTCCCAGACCCTAAACATTACGTATTTCGATGAACTTAAACAGCAAATAGGCGTTATTTAAGTTAAAAAAAAAACACAATTAAATTGCATAATAATAACATTTGATAAAAACCTCAAAGGAAAGTTCGACTCCGCTGTCAAAGTGTTAAAATTTGATTCTTTCTTATAAAATCGACAATTCTTTCAAACTGTCTCGTAGACGTATTCGTATTTCTTTACTCGCCGTATTTTGAATATTTTATTGCATTCCGATTGGTTAGAAACAACTTACAAATATCTCTGAGTGAAGATGTATATTTGAACAATAAACACCGACTGTAACGATAAAACTAGTTACGAAAACTTCACCGAGTCACTTCGTATCCGAAATTTATAGTAGTTTTGAGACCCGTTCTTAATATTCAAATTCCAGGAAAGTGATACTCGTTTACCTCTAATTCTGTTATAATGTCTTACGCTAATTATTATGAGAATATCCCCGCGATATGCCATGCACCATTTTCTACTTCCAAAGATTTCGGAAAAGATGGAGGCAATTGATAAAGGTAAAAATCTTGTCTATTCCAAAAGACGTTCTTAAATATTTGGTGTCGAGTTTTTGAGGAATGATTGAAGTTAATGGTTGAAGGAGAATGATTAAAGTTAAGGATAAAAATATTGAAACAAATTGCAAACCATTATCTGAAATAAAATATCTTCAGACTATGATTTGATAGATCCTTTGACAAGATCTGTATGCCTCAGTATTCAGTTGCCATTAAATGTTAAACTTATAGTTAACTGTTAAGCAAACTTATCTATAAAACATGTAGTTAGTTAAACGTTCTTTTTTATTACAGAAAATTAGGCACTTAATAAGCTTCGGTATTCAAATTTTGCATTGCGAGTATGAGTCAACAGACATTACCAACACGGCGCAACTCTTAACGTTCGTTCGTTTTATTAATGAAGGAGGCCTTCGTGGCAAAAACACTGGGAGAAAAATTAAGCGAAGTTTTAGATCAAGTTGTTCAGATGGTAAACTTTATTAAAACAAGACCTGTCTAATCGGGTTTATTCGAAAAGTTTCGCATCGATATGGATTCACAACACAGACGGATTGCTTTTACACATTGAGGTGAGATGGTTGTCAAGGGGAAAAGTACTTATCCGTGTACACGAGCTACTACAAGAACTTTTTGCGTTTTTTTGAAGAGATGAAACAATTTTTGTAATCTTCCTAGATGAGAATTTTGGATTTCCAGGTTATAGTATTTGCAGGTATATTTCGGCAGTTCAATATTTTGAATACTAGCATGCAAAGGAAAGAAGAAAATCTTCTCACATCCACTGACAAAATGAAAATGTTTCAGAGAAAACTACAGATTTGGAAAAGAAAAGCTGTTGAAGGTAGTTTGGAAACGTTTCCATTAGTAAATAACACTTGTACAAATGAAACACTTCCAATAATAGTTGAACATTTAATAAGTTTAGAAAAAAAAATTGGGTTCTTATTTTCTATCACTTAACACTGAACAATACGATTGGATTAGAAACCCATTCATGGAAGCTTCGAGTGATTTTGGTTTAACATTAACAGAAAAAGAACTGGCAGCTACATCCACTGATCGTGGATTGATGATTAGACATAAGGAATTGTCTCTCGGAGACTTTTGGATTTCTATAAAAGAAGAATATGTGGCGATATCTAAAAAAAGCTTTGAACATTTTACTACAATTTTCACCATCTTATTTATGTGAATTAGGATTTTTTACACTCAACACAATTAAGAGTAAAAAAAAGAAAATATTTAATGTATTGACCAGGAAATGAGAGTTTGTCTTTCAAATATATGCTCAAGCATTGAAGAAATCGCTAGGACACATCGGGCTCATATTTCTCATAAACACAAGAATGGAAAAACTTACGGAAACTCGGACGAACTGGGACAAAGAGAAAGTAAAATTTTCAAGAAAAATGCGACGTAATTTATGAACAGTCTCATAAAAATCAACGAAGAGTCGACTCTTCGCTATGACAAATTTCGTCTAAATTGATCATTTCATCGCGTTACTGTAATTAAACTTTGAGTAAAGTAAAAAGAGACAGACAAACATTTAATTAGCGGAAATACAGTAACACCTCGCTTAACGCCGATTCCATATAACGCGGTCTATACTGTTCTAATGCGTATAAGAATGGAACTAAAAGAATTTTAGCGCCAATTTCCTCCCCTTTTTTCAACTATGTCTTCTCACGTGTCGTGTTGTTTTAACTGTCACTATAATCTCAGGTAATTAAGTTTTATTGTATAAACCATTTTACGCGTATTCTAAATATTTCAATGCATTCCGTAAATCTTTAAATCTGTAATCAACTTACTGATAAATTGTTACAATAAGACTGAAGAGAAGCGTTAAGCCCGAAATGTATATCCGTTCCTAACAATAAACCAAAATCTTTTTCCACTAAAAGTGTTCTTGTGTGATTTGTTCTCAACGGCAACATTATGCTAAGAAAGTACGTAATTATATTTTACGTCATTTGTGGCACGGTGCTCAGCCTACAATAAGAACAGCTTAGCCATTTGCTTTGAATACGTGTGTCGATTCCTGAGTCGGTTTGCACATAATTCTCACTAGGAGCGCTGATGACCGTACTATTCGATCAAGTGATCAACGGTAATTCTGTTGCAAAGACGTGCTTATGATAGATTTAAAAAAAATTAAAATTTCAAAAATATTTTATATCAAGATACTGGTGAATTTTTAAAAGGTTTGATTTAAAATGGTTCATTGTTCTGTGCCATTTTGTACATCAAACAAATCGAAAAAAGATGGAACAAGTGTTCACGAATATCCCGCGGAAGAGAATTTACGTTTAAATTAAAATGGTAAAAGCTGTCAGCAGAAAAGGTAAGTTTTATTTAATGCTCCATAATTAAGTAATGTAGGAAAAATTATAACATCTATGCTACATCCATTGATGCTACTTTTGCAATTATTTTATATGCTGTAAGGGTTCGTGCAAAGACCACGTGTCCCCATATTTCCTAAATCTTACCTTCCCCTTCCCATTGTGATCTTTTGTGGCTTTTATAAAAACCCCCTTAAAAAGCACATGGAAAATTTCAACCCCCGAAAATTTATATATTACAGTACTTTCTTTTATCGAATTTATCGGATATTTCAAAAACAGTAGAAAGACATTGCTAAAAACTACATGGGTGTATTTGAAACGCACTTAATTTCAGCTTTTTAAATACAAAAAATTAAATACATGTAACTCCCCCCTTAATGAAAACAAGTACGGTTTTTGCGCGACTGTTAATTGCAATGAGATTAGGCTATATTTTTTAAATTTTTGTACAATTTATCTATTTATGCTTACAAATTATTTATAGATAGTATAACTAATAGATTTACTATATAAGCTAACTCTTTTTAAAATTTACAGATGAAAACAGTTCAAAACTTTGGAAGCCAAGTGACTGGTCAGTTGTCTGCAGTAAGCACTTTCTGCAATCATATTATAAACCATGGTGAAAACTGATGATTTTTGTAATATTTTTAAAAATTTTAACTTTGTTTATAAAATGTTAATATTAATAAAAATNCTAAGACCCACAAGACCGGAATGGAGTTAAGGCCAGTTGTAGAGAAATGCAGAGGACCCACCTTTATATTAGAAAAAAGGCTGCACGAGTATTTATCCTCACACCTTGACGATGATAGTCTAGTGGCACAGGATCCTCTTATTGTTGTCAAGGAAATACAAAGTATATCTTTAATGGAAGATGAGGTAGCGACCGTTTTAGATTATGAAAGCATGTATCCTTCAGTAATGATTGAGTTTTGCGTGGATGCGTTATTGGATTTCTTGTACATAAAGAACTCCCAATTGCTTCTTTACACCCAAGAGCTAGAAGAACTGGCTAACCTGGTATGCTATGAGTCGTGCTTCACCTTTTGTGGTCAGGTCTACAGACAAAAAAGAGGGGTTCCGATGGGAAGTCCCCTCTCAGGAATCTTTTGCGAAATTAGTTGTCAGAAGAATAGAAAGAAGGGTTCTTCATAGTTTCAAGGAAGATATCGTATATTTCAGCAGGTATGTGGATGACATCCTTATTTTATGGAGAAATAATAGTAGGATGCATGAATTTATGGGTAAAATCAATGATAACGATGATGGACTTAAATTGAGATTAGAACAAAAGAGTTCCTTGAATATGCACTTCTTGGACATTAATATCCGGTTTATGAAAAAACATTTGTCAACAAGTGTTTATATTAAACCTACACACACCCCATTATATATACCATCCCAATCCATGGATCCATATCGGTATAAGATGGCAGCTTTCCGAGCGTTAATAAGGAGAGCCTATTTATATTATGACCGAGTCGCTGACAGGGAGAAGGAGATTGATAGAGTATTGCAGGTGGCCCGGACCCTGGGTTACAGAAAAAGTATAATTGTAGGAATGCTTAAAAAGTATGAAAGGGGCATAGTAAAAAGAACTTTAAGGAATGTTCCTACTAGGCTCACAAAATTTACTTATAATAGTAGTATGAATAGTGTTATGAAAGAAATTGCTAGTCGAAAGGAATCAAGAGTGGTTTTAAGAAGAGCCCCTAATTTGTATAAGATCTTGAGAAATGATAAGGATAGTATCAAAGCGGAGGAAAAAGCAGGGGTGTATAAGATTCCTTATGAGAACTTACAACTGGATGTTAAAAAGATTATATCGGCGTCACTACCAGAAACTTGGGAGTAAGGCTCAAAGAACATAGATATGCCATAAGAAAAGCATCTAATTCAACGATTTTGTCCCAAATGGCGCAAGCGCAAGGCTCTAAGGTTAAATGGGATGAGGCAACAATCATCAAACCTCTGTCTTCCCCAACTCTAGCAATG